CGCTGAACTATAAACGAATTTCACAGCTTGGGTGATGCGCCATTGCAATTGGCATTTGGCAGTGTTTGCACAACACAATTGAGCTGTGGCGTTAGGGTCCTGCGAAAATTTCCCACCAAGTGATGGGGAATCTTAAAAGAGTTATTCTGAGGAGCTGAAACGTCCCTGCTTTCAGAAATTGAAGTCTTTCTCTCTTCGCGGTGCAAACGACAGAAGCACAGCTTAGTAGCAAAGCAAGCCCTTGTAGAGTGAAGGGTGCTAGGTTTCACCTCGTTTAAGAGTTTAGGTACCAGTCAATGCAAGAATCGGTGTCTAGTTCACAGATCACCCAAACCATGGTTTGCTTGGCATTCACACAACTTAAGTCAACTATCAGCCATGGTTTACAACATCACAAAAGCTCGATTCAGGTAACATGTCGAGTCACAATATGGTCCCTTGGATTTGGCGGAAGGGCACTGTGTAGACTCAGCTAGGAGATGCTTTGGTTTCTGGGGATGTTTCAGGTCCAGATCAAAGCACTCTGCAATTTTTAAGCCCTGAATTGTCTTCAGAGAAGGGTTTAATCCTCTGGAGATCTGCAGGTCATCTGGCAGACATGCTTGAAAAGGATTTTTCAGTGGTGTTATTAGGTTACATTTGGAAAGAAGACAGGCCCTTGCTTAGGAAAAAGAATACTTAAAGATAAACAGAAGGGGGATTTGGGGAAATTCAATATTTTGACCACTGGGAAAGTAAAAGGGATTAATAGAGATAGCTGGGTGGAGCTTATTGGTTCCCATAGCATTCTTCTAAAGTCCTCTCAACCGTGATTTTGTTTGGATTGTTCTTGAAATAAACAATTTGCTATTACCTCTGAGTACCTATCAGTGCTTATCTTGCTACAAGGTTCCTCCACTGTATAAATATCTATCCTCAGCATCTTTCAGCACAGCAAGACTGCCTCACTTCCACCCTGCACCACCCAAAAACCTCTGGAGATAATTCTGAAGAAGATGCTTCTACTGTACTCTTGTTGTTGTTGTTAGTTGCGAAGTCGTATCCAACCCATCGCGACCCCATGGACAATGTTCCTCCAGGCCTTCCTGTCCTCTACCATCTTCTGGAGTCCATTGAAGCTCACGCCTCCTGCTTCAGTGACTCCATCCAGCCACCTCCTTCTCTGTCGTCCCCTTCTTCTCTTGCCCTCAATCTTTCCCAGCATCAGGCTCTTCTCCAGTGAGTCCTTCCTTCTCATTAGGTGGCCAAAGTACTTGAGTTTCAACTTCAGGATCTGGCCTTCTAAAGAGTAGTCGGGGTTGATCTCCTCTAGGACTGACCGGTTTGATCGCCTTGCAGTCCAGGGGACTCGCAGGAGTCTTCTCCAGCACCATCGTTCAAAGGCCTCCATTCTTACACATTCTATATTCCCCAGCCAAGGACAATTCAATCCCTCAGTTCTTACTCTTGAACTACATCTGCCCCACTCTTTGCTACTTCTTGTACATTTTTGTGTTGTGTACTGTCTTGGTTGCTTTCAAGACTCAAGAGTTCGATTGTCCTAGTTAAAAAAATGAATATAGAAAAAAGAGAATTGCCCTGCAATAAATCGTCAGCATTTCCTGGTGTATCTTTGTGACTTCATTGTGTGGGGAAGAGGACAAAGTCTGCTGCCTTTTGCTGCCATACTCAAGGAAATTATTGAATTTGGAGCATTGTAGTTCACACAGACTTCTTCTGCTCAACAGAAGAATCTTAGCTATATGGGATCAGTGACCAATGGCTGGTCAAGTCCTGCTTAAATGCCTCCATCAAAGGGAAGATCACTCCCTCTTGATGTTTTTATTCTCATAACACGTTGCACATCAACATATTGACCATATTGTGGTTTAATTTAATAGAGCCCTGGTGGTGCAGTGATTAGAACCCAGTATTGCAGGCTAATTCTGCCGACTGCCAGCAGTTCAATCCCAACTGGCTCAAGGTTGACTCAGCCTTCCATCTTTCCGAGGTCGGTAAAACGAGGACCCAGATTCTGGGGGGCAAGATGCTGACTCTGTAAATCGCTCACAGAGGGTTGTGAAGTGTTATATAAGCCGAAGTGCTATTGCTATTAATTTGATAGCTTAATCCACACAGGGATAGAAGAGTGAGTAGTCATACTGGAGACACCTTCAGCATAAACATGGGACGTGATAATGGCTGGGTTATTCCAGTGTTATGGCATTTTTATCGATAGCGTTTGATGTTTTTATTGATTTGGTTGTCATGAAATGGTTCAGCAATGTTGTACACTGCTTAAAGTGTACAATGGAAGCAGTTTAAAAGCACTGGGTGGATGGAAGGTCAAGGTGGGCTCAGACAGCAACCAGATCAGAACGTGTAGACATGTGACACAACTGCACCTCAACAACAGGAAAGACGCCCAAGGATTCAATTTGTCCTCCAATTTGACAATTTTATCGTGGTTGTTAAGCAAATTGCCATGGTTCTTAAGTGAACCACATGGTTGTTCAGCAAATCCGGCTTCCCTATTGAGCTTGTCAGAAACTGGATGGGAAAGTCACAAATAGCTATCACATGATGCCAGGATGCTGCAGCCATCATAAATACATGCCCGTTGCCAAGAGCCCAACGGTCTCCAGCCTCATCCCTCCTCTACCTTACTCCTCTGAAGTCTCTTCCTTTCAATAAATTGAAACAGTCCTCAGAAAATAAGAGTTCACGTTCTTACACAAGTGGCATAGCCCTAAACTCGAAGTATCAACTTCATCCAGCAGCCCATCAAATTTGGGACTTGCAGTCTGATCCTGGCATCCTAAGAGCCAATTTCAGTCTTTGAAATCAGCTCCATATGGCAAATCAAGAAACTTTGAGCTATTTTCCGCTGTCAAAATTTCAGGAGAATCCTTGCTTTAAGCCACCAATGGCAGGAAACCTTCTGATGACCAAGAAACACACATCACCGTTTTTTGGAAAAGTCAAAAGCCATCAAGAGAGGCTGCGCCACACCTATGGTCACGGCTGAATTAGGGGGAAGTTTGAGTTTTATTGTTGTTCGCACAGGTTTGTACGTTGGCGGTTGATTGCACAGTCCGCCAGATGTTCAGAGTGGATTTGGCACTTTTATTCGCCTATCGAGTCCTTCCCAAGGATCTGGGCTAGGCAGGTGTTGTTTGAGGGCGCTAAAGGTATGATTGCAGGATTAAATTGAATGCCACACCATCTAAGGTGGTAAGAGCATAGAAAGACTCGTAGAAATACTGCAAGATCAGAAGATGTGGCAAGACCTGGCCCATAGAGTCGTCAAGAGTCGGATGTGATTGAATGGGTAACATCATCATCATCATCATCACTATATGCCACCCAACTTTCAACAAAGCTGAGCTTTCAAAACATGGATGTGCCAAACTGGTGAAGTAGCCATTTCCATCTGCTTCTTGCCTCGATATGGGCAGAAACCAGGCGGTCAGTTTTCTCCGGGCTGAGCCTGACAGGACACCGAAAGTGGCTGGGGCTGTCCATCACTTAGTTTGGACTTCTAGAGATACCCACTTGGACAAAAGTTTCAAAGGCTTTCTCTGAGTCTCCCCAAAGTAACCAGTCTAGGAAAGATGCCTTTTCATTTGTTCCACCCCAGCTCCTTCACCCTCCCATCCACTGGTTCTTTCTCTCTCTTTTTTTTAAAGCTCTTTTTAAGTTCTTTCTGAGTTCCATACATGGAAAGAGACGTTAGAAAGCGGAGTTCTTGTTTTAATATTGCCCGTCCTTCTTTTAACACTGCATCCCGTCGCGAAGTCACAGCCGTCATCAGAATTGCTTACAACTTTGGATTCCTTCGCCTCTGGGTTAATTACTTCCAGAATGCACATCCTCAGTTCTCCCCACTCTACCTCAAAGCGACGACAGAAAGACATATGTCCCAACCCACCCCTCCCTCAGCCCTGCCAAAAGAACGGTCCACATTTATTTGCATTTTTTTTTTGTTTTTTAGGGGGGGGAAAAATGTTTCTCTTCCCCTCCAGAAAATTCTATTTCTTTTTAGCGTCTCTGCCAAGCATGAAGTTGACATGACGGTGTAGAATTCTTGATGGGAGCTGTGGCAATGCGTGTGTGTGCGTACTTGGGGAAAGGAAGAGGTCAAGTGGCTTCAGAAGAGTCTGAGCGGGAGGCTAAAGAAGACAAAACAGCAGGATCCGTTTGAGTGAAAAATTTCATTCTCGTGGCTAAAAAGAAAAAAAAAAAAGAAATAAAGCTTCCAGTCCCCATGGTGGCAAAGTTAAATATAAACACAGGTGGGAATTGGCTGGAGCTGAGAAAATGGTGCTGTATGTTCCTCAGGCAGGAGAAGGATTGGCAAAGATGATTTATTCTCCTTCAGCAACTGGAGTAGAGAAAAAAATGCTGTATATATAAAACTGGGTGCATTTATTTAATTTTGAAAAGCGAGGTGGCAAAACTACCTGTTCCTTTGTCCACAAAATGCCCATCAGCTGTCTAAAAACAGAACCCTGGGAACTGTAATTTCTAGAGGAAGGGAGGACCTCTGCTAGGGAGCTCAAAGTTGCCCCCAAATTATAGTTTTGAGGGTGCCTTAAGAGAGGAGAAATGATTGCTAAACCCACTTAAATCTACAGGGTATGATCGTGCTCCAGGAGAACCCCAAAACTTGACAGGACCTTAAAAACAGAAAGTCCTGCCACAGAAAAAAAGGTCCTTAAAGTGCAGTGTTGGGAACCCACTGTGGAAGCCTCACCGTGATCATACAGACCAGGCAGCCATGCTTCAAAGAGCCAGCCCCATAATTTGAGAAAGCAAGAAGGGGGCAGGAAAAGACCAGGTAGGACATACTGAAGTTCCTTCTTTCTGATACCTTCTGGTAAACCATCTCTAAAAGTTTGGCAACGCCCAACCTGTGAAAGATGAGGCATTCTTACAAACGGTGCAAAAATAAAAAGATGGAGGAGATGATGCTGGAACCGTAAGCCTCACCAGGATCTCTGGGGGGGGGGAAAGGGGGGGGAAAGCATCCTTGGGGAGATGTGGAGCTGTCCGATTTTTGACACCATCCCCCCTTCGGTCAACCGCCTACTCATCGCATCCCAGAAGTTCCACTCGCAATGTGATGCGGTTGTGCCAAGCCTCAGGTAAGATGCGGACGAAGCGGGCGTGAAATGGCACATCAAACATGTTCTTCTTGTGAGAATTGTTGTCGTGGTTGCCTTGGAATAGCTACGTGGAGAAGGGAAGGAGGAGGAAAAGAAGAGGTTAATTTTGAAGACGTAAGCAAAGATCTGAAATTCTCACCACCCTTCTTCACTCAACAACATTGGCAAGAAAAAAAGCAAACCTTGCTTAATTTAACTGTCCTGCTTAGCAACAGAAATTGGGGGAGAGAGACCTTGCAGACCAATTTAAGAAGTAAAAGAATAAGTAATAATTGTGGTCACAAGTTGAGGACCTGTATAGGCGGATTGAGACAACTAACTTAAATTCGTCTGGGAAAATTTAAAAAAAAAAACAACCCAAGTTCGAAACACATTTCTGCTGCATTTTACTTGTTATTTGGATGCCTCATATATATTCATAGACAGACTCCAGATATTTTTAGCAAGGGAAACCACAGGCAAATAAGAGGCCGACACCAGTTAAAAAAAAAGGGGGGGAAATGTTAATAAAAGTCAAGTCTCTTCCAATTATATTTAACTCCAAATGACTCTGTTGCTTTCTTGGAAACACTGTAGAAATAATTCGTTATTGGCTTCTTTCAGAATGTTTTTAAAACTCCCCCATCCAGTGTACAGCCCTTGGATTTCCTGATAGTCTACTTTCCTAATACTAAGCAGATCTGACCCTGTTTAGCTATTTTTAGATGAAGTGCTGCCACCTGGTGTGACAATAAAAACACTGGCACTTTGATGGTAGAAGGGACGAACACAACCTTGGAGATAACTATGGAGGTTCTCAGTCATCCAGGTCGTGGTTGTCCCAAAGGTGCTTTTTCAAAAGATAACTGGACTTTTCTTGGGGGGTTTTTCCATCTCATCCAAGAAGCTTCTTCAGTTCTGAACTAAAAACAAAGCCCACTTCCTTTTGAAAAAGCACCTTTGGGGACATCCTTGGAGAATTACGTTTTGTCGTTTATTTTTATTTATTTTTTTCCACAAGGAAAACGTACAAGTTAACCAAGCCTAGGCCGAAGACAAATTCCAAAATGACGTAGTATGCCATAACTGAGAAGTCATAAAAACTTTTCATCAAACAAGACAGGAAAAAAGAAAAAGAAAAATGATCTAAAAGAAGGGACTTGATATCATATCTAAGAGGGAGTGGGGGATTAGAAGATTGCACTTATCTTTTGAAAAGAAGGCTAGAAGTCATATTTCCTAACATTAGTTCCCTGACTTCCTTCCCCTCTTCCCTCCCTCCCTCCCTCTCACAGGGGAATAAAATTTTGGAGAAACTAGAGCAGTGATGGCGAACCTTTTAAAGACCGAGTGCCCAAACTGCAACCCAAAACCCACTTAAGCATCGTTGAGTGCCAGGTGGGTATGGCCCATTGGCTGGGCGTGGCCCATTGGCTGGGCGTGGCCCATTGGCTGGGCGTGGCCCATTGGCTGGGCGTGGCTGCAGTGGTAACGGCAGACTGGGTGGGACTAAAAAGTTCAATCAATCAATTTCAACTTTGCAAGATCTTTTTTTTCCCCGCGAGAAGTTGAAATTGACTGATTGATTGAACCTTTTTTTTTTTGCACATGGCGGTGGAGGCCTAAAGCTAAAAGGTTTTATAAAACCCAGCTGAAGGCCTAGGACTGGGGTGACGGCGAGTGTGCCCACAGAGAGGGCTCCGAGTGCCGCCTCTGGCACCAGTGCCATAGGTTCGCCACCACTGAACTAGAGGATACATTTCAGCACAGCATTGATAGAACAGTCTTAGAAGTACTCCATGACATACAGAAAATGTGCTACGGGAAAAAAATTGGAATATGGAGGGATTAAGAATATGCTTGTATTGCTGTAGCTTTGATTAGACATCAGTTGTTTTCATTTCTTTATATATGGCCTAGGGAGGATTTTAAATCGGGTTTATCTTAAGAGTAATTTTAAATAGCACAGCTTTAAATATTCGGTTTTAATTGGTTTTACTTGGGTGGGGTTGTAAATGTGTTTATGTTTTTTAATATGTTGTGAGCCGCCCTGAGTCCCGTTGGGAGAAGGGCGGGATATAAATCAAATAAAATAAAAATAAATAAAAAAAATAAATATATGCTAGGATGGACGGATGGATGGATAGATGGATGTTGAAACCTGGCACTACTGTATTACAACCCCTGTTGAGAATCATTTGAGGTGGACTACAGATCTTCTAAATTAATATAAGTGAAGGAAAGCTGGGGGAACATTACACTAACAAAAAGATAGTCTGCAACCGCATAACATTACCCCACAATTATTCTGAAAAGGCTCAACTGCAGGATGCTAATGTTTTTTAGTCCAAGACAGACCCTGCATTGACTCTCAATCTTACAAAACTTTTTTGCCCAATTCTACCTTGATGCTGTTTGTCTTATCGTCGTGGTAGACAGTCCAGGATTTCCCATCATTGCTGTAGGCCACTTTGTAGGCTGCTACGTACTGAATGTGCCCAAAATCTCGTGCTCCCTGTGTTATGATCCCAGACACTTTTTTCACTTTCAGAAGATCAATCTGCAGAAAGAAAACACAATCTTTGCACTGGTGGAAGTAAAAGCTCCTCTCTGGGAGGAGGTTTTGAAATACTTATAGCAGAACTACTAGATTTTGTAACAGCTTTGCTCCTTATGCCAACTGTCTTATAAATTCACAGGATTCTTTTTTTCACCATGTATATGAATACGTTCGAACTAGACAGTGATGTTTCTCTGTGTCATATATGTGCGTTTGTGTGTGTGGCTTTATGCATAACGGTATTTGTTTTGAGAGCTGACTGCAACAAAATTTCATTTTAATGTAGGCTGATTAGCATGCATTTAAAGGGACAATAGCAGTTTTTATTCTATTCTATTCTCTTCATCAAATCAAATCAGTCTTCTTTATAGCCGTAGGTGAATATCACTGGATGGAGTACAGTTGTTATGAAGAAACATGAAAAATATAATAGGTAAAATGTTGCATGTAAGAATGTACTCACATCTATATACTGTATGAGTCACAAAAGATATAAAAAGGACAATTCAAAGGCGTTCTATAGAAGGTCCATATACTGTAGAGTTTCAAAAGCAAAAAGCTAACTAGGAGTCACTTTCCAACTAAAAAGTAAAACTGCCCAGAATCATTGGCACTTGGGCTCTCTCTATATATATTGAATTTAATAATAATAATAAAGAGGATGATTATAATGTATCAAATAAAGTGAGATGGGAGCAATCGAAAAGTATAAGGGAATAAGACCTACTGCGCTTCAAACAAGCTGTTCTCAACAGGAAATCTTTAGCACCCTAAAGTGCATTCAAGAGAGAAGTTATTATTATTTTTAATCAGGAGGAATATTGCCCTTTAAGAACTAACAAAAAACTGAGCAGACCGAGCTTGCATCCTTCACTTCTCTCCCATCCCTCTTTTCCTTTTGTGCTAAGGTTTTAAGGCTTTGCAAACTCAATATTCTTTGAAATGAAAAGAGGTCCTGAAAAAAACTTCAAAATGATAATTGGAAACCCGCTGAGAAGGACCCGGTTTTATTCAACAATTCTGTGAATGAATAGAATTGGTTTGGACCAAGATTTGAGCTTGGAAGGACAAGGGAGGTATTTTATATCTATCATGGAACTGCCAAATGTAAACGGCACTGTTCATCCTCCAAGATCAAAAACCGTTATTTTAAGACTCAGTTAAAATATACCAGTTCAAGCAAACTGGCATATCCTTATCCTGTTTTTCTCGTTACGTTTGCAATCCTCTCCTTCCTGAGACATTAGATTTGCTTCATTGCCTCTGCACACAAGGTAGGAATCCAACATATTCATGTATCTTTTGTTTAAAGCAATGCTACTAGCCAGTAGGATGAGAGACAAGCTACTCACAAATAGAGAAACACACCATTGAATTTTTTTTTTGAGGAGGACTGAAAAAATGTTTTTGTTTAGCAAGAGCTGTACACATACTGAAAAATGAACCAGATCCCAAACTAACCGAATAAAACATTCTGGTTTCTAGTAAGCTAATTTTTTTTCTAAGTGGAAAAATAACTTCACTGTTATTTTTTAAAATAATACAGGTAGTCTAGTACTTACAGCTGGCTGCTTAGCAAGTTGTTAAGTTAGTAAAACGGTTGTTACTAAGTTGTTAAGTCAATCTGGCTTCCCCGTTGATTTTGCTCGTTAGAAAGTCACAAAAGGGGATCGCGTGACCCCGGGACACTGCAACCGTCATAAATACAAGCCAGTTTCCCAGCGTCTGAATTTGGATCACGTGACCACGGGGATGCTACACAGTCACGTGAAAAATGATCCTAACTCACTTTTTTTTTTCAGTGCTGTTGTAACAGAATGGTTACTAAATGAACGGTGGTGAGTCAAGTACGTTCTTCTTTCTGTTATAAATTAGGCAAGGAAGCTGGATGGTTACAGTAAGGACCACCTTTATCAGCACTACCCCACAGATTCCAGTTAAAACCATTTCTTCTTCTTCTTCTTCTTCCACCAGCTTTGACACCCCACCCCCCGCTCTGGCAAGGACATACCTGAAGCCACTCGCCTGGCACGTTCCTGAGGGCAGTCCAGGCATTGGATTTCCCAGTGTTATCAAGGCGGGCATAGTAAGGGTGCCAAGTCATACTACTAAAACCCCAGGTCTTGTACACGCTGGAGGCTGTGATCTGCCGGTCAGAGACGCGATGGGACTTCACGCCCAGAGGATCGGAGCAACCTGCCGTGTTGAAATACACTGTAACACAACGATTTATAGACGCAGTGAAAGGCAAGAGTTCATAAGCAAGAAGACTCTCCCAAAGAGGGTGCTTTCAAGGAGAACCTTCTCCCAAAAGTCCCCCAAGAGGGAAATCAATTTTTAAAGCAACAGAAGACATCCAGATAGCAAGCACCACCAGACGCTATCCTGGTGATCGCTGATGCAGATAGAGGATAGCAAGAGCAAGAGCGCTTAGATTTATATACCACTTCACAGTGCTTTACATCCCTCTCTAAGCGGTTTGCAGAGTCAGCGTCTTGCCCCCAACAACCTGGGTCCTCATTTTATGGACCTGGGAAGGATGGAAGGCTGAGTCAACCTTGAGCCGGTGAGACTCGAACTGCCGAACTGCAGACAGCTGGCAGTCAGCAGAAGTAGCCTGCAGTACTGCCATCTAACCACTGCCCCAGCACGGCTCTTGGTTAGCATTTATACAGTTAACAACCTGCCAGCATTCTACACTCCAGATTAAGGATATACATTTAGCTAGTTTTGCATCAACAGTCACTGACACTGAAAATGGGAAAGTATTTAATTTTTGCATTTTTCAAGCCCATCTCCAAACTATAAGATTAGTTAGTATTTGAAAGGCACAATCCACTGGATGTTGCCACACACCTCGTTAGTTTAAAAAAGATGGGAACTGGGAAAATGCTGGCACAAAAAGTCACACTTCCATGAATATGTAGAAATGCAGAGGATTTACAAAAATAGCATTAAGCAAAACTGCAAGGAATAGTGACTAGATTTGGGGAAAGTGCACAAAGAGGACTGCATTTTGGTGCACATTTTAAAAAATGAGAATCAACTTGACAGATTTACAATACTCGGTCATTTGTAGAACAGACGGTTTTGCCTTCCATTTGTCGTTCTTCTGTGTTTTCCTGCCAATTTCATTTTTTCCCCTTTCTACTAAGGGCATGCAAATGTTTCATTTCAAGCCATTTTATTTATTGGTATTTAAAACAATTCATATAACCACCCATCTTATAACCAGCTCTGGCCTGCTTCCAATCAAAACAGCAGAAAAGTCCCGCGTGCAAAATGACCTCTCTTGGGCACTTGGGAATGGACTTGAGACAGGATATATTTTAAAAAAAAAGGCTTGAAATGAAGTCTTCTGAACAACTCTACTTTCTACCTAGAAATTTACTAAGGACAAAGAGATGGGACCAAGACAACTTCATGATGCTTTAAGATGTTTAGAGATTGTCCATCTGAAAGCAGTTAATGAGAAAGAGGTCCAGGCCCCCTTAAGTTGGAATATGGAGACCTCACAGTTAGCAAGAAAGATTCCCAGGACCATAAGTCAAGTTCACTGAAGCCTAGTGTAAGTCAGCCATGCTGGCAAGTCTCATCCTTTAGCTGAAGGTACCATATTTAAATCATGAGCAATGCCAAATATAGACTTGCCCCCTAAATAAAATATTTAGATGGTCCAGCAGCATCCCCTCTTTGCGTCAGCATGTCACCATCTACTTAAAAGAGTCAAGACTGTCTATCATTCTATGCAAAAAGGCTGACCAAACTCATCCACATCATTCATACAGCTTGCAAAATTCTGACTTTCCTGAGGGATAATTTAAACCACCCAGGCACCGTTTTAATTTTTTTTTCAATACACCAAGCTGGCAAATTGTTCCAAGTGCTCAGAATGACAGGCCTAATTTTCAAGGGCTATTGGAAAGTAGAGGACCTCCAAAAATGAAGTTTTGGATTCCAGAGAACCTCTTTAGGGTTTCCATGATCTTCTGTCAGCACTTTTGCTTTCCTTTGCTCAATCCCCAGTTAAGGAAAAGGATGTTGTCTATGAAGACACCAGAGACCGGTTGTCCAATTATCCATGCAAGAGCGTGCACCTCCACCCAAATTCATTAGACCAATGGGAAGCATTTACCATTCATTTCACAGCCAATCAGTTCAAACCGCAGAGTGTAGCCACCCTCGAACGTTACTGGGTGGATTCGGAAATACTGGGCGATGACTGGAGAATTAAACATGTTGGTCACTGCAGCATATCGGTCTGTATTGCCTAAGAAAATCTGCAGGAAGGAAAATATAAAATGAAGAGTATCTTAGGGGTAGGAATGTGAACCTCTTTCCAGTGCTACACAGTCCTGGAGACACTGCTTTTCCATATATACTTGTACAATAATAGCATAACGGCTAGATTATGGGGTTTTGGTCACAGATATGAGAATGCAAATCCCTTTTTGGATGCACGGATAATTTATCTTGAACCACTTCTACTTTTAAGTCAACTTTCATGAGTATGTATGACAGGAACACAGGTCGACCTACATAGATGCAGACTGTGGTGGGATTCAAATATGTGAACAACCGGTTCTCTGTGTGGATGCAGGTTCTGGAAGTCCATTCTGGGCCTGGGCAACACAAAATTAGCTACTGGTTCTGCCGAAGTGGTGCGAACCAGCTGAATCCCACCACTGGATGCAGATTAATCTAAGTTCCCAAAGCCCAATTGGACTCAAATAAGCCATGGAAGCTAATACCCTCTATATTTAACTCACAGTTGAGTTAATTATAATATATCCAAAAAAATATGAGGGAGTGGGGTAAGAAAAGAGCTAAACCAAGAACCTGGATCATACAGTCTAACAAGATTGAGCAGATCCATATTTTGAAACATCTAGGAGTGCTTTTTGATAACAAGGATTCTCGGAAGGACATCATAGTGACATTTTCTAGACAGCACTGTGATCTCTGCTGGAATCAAGCTTTTTTTTTTCCACCAAAGGGGGGAGCTAGTTCCTCCTACTCCATCTAGCTTTTCAAAGCTAAAACGAACTCAGAAGTGGGCATCTATGCCATAAAAACACAATATAAATGCTGCAACCAAAGTTCTTGGGAGCACTTTTGACCATTCCAAAAATGTGTATGGAATCCATTACTATCTTCAGTCTTGAGGTAGGATGCCCCAAACTGACATAATGGTTTGGTGCCTGATGATTATCTAATGCAGAAGTTTTCAAACTTGCTCCTCGGGAATTCTGGGAGTTGAAGTCCACAAGTCATAAAAGGGCCAAGTTTGAAGACTCCTGATCTAATGGTTCAACACCTCATTTTTCCCAACCAGACTCTTATTACACCTTGTATTGATAGAGAAAAGTTAAATCAAGTTGGAGTGATCTTATAGAATCCGAGCCAGCTTTCTATGGTCTTTCAGCTGAGTACTCTTGACTTTGGATTACAGTATCACACACCTATTCCTTCAGAGCATGAAGGATATAAATTGCAGATCAGTTGGATCCCACAGAATGGCAAAACCTGGATTCCAAGATGACCTGTGTACTCACCAAATATCTAACATCTCTCCTTTTCCTTAGGTTGAAAAGGATTTGTATAATATCTTGCTGCCCATTTTCTTGGACAACTGATAATTAATACCTTCTTTATTTAAACAAATCTGTCCATCCAGTTCAAGAGAAATCAAAACCATCATTCACATACTGTTGTGTTATATAACATGTACAGGAAAATATAAGGCACCCATTCATTCTGCATGTCTTGCAACAACGTTCTAGATGGACAAATCTTTGGTGTCCAAAGTATTTGCCTTCTAATACTAATGACAACCCTGTAGGCAAATTTCCTGTGGCAGAAGTTAAGACACATCAAGTCCTAATATCCCCGATTGTTCTATATTTATTTGTTCTCATAAGCTTTTATATCTTATTGTGCATGGATCACTGAGCAAAATAAAGATTGCATTGTACTAAGGTAAGCTACATGCGTAGGATAATACAATCCAACAAGGATACTATTATATATTACTGCTAAAATAAATAAAAATAATCCTTATAATTGATGAACTAAAGAACATAAAGTTTTGCAACTGACTAATATAGAGAAACAAAAGACTGTAACTGACAGATATTTTTTCTTTTAATGACCTTGTAATCCTTTGCATCGGGGCGGCTTAATGGAGCTGAGTGTTTACTGGCTGGATGCCCTTCCTGATGCCTACGCAGAGTTCACAGCAGATATTTCCTCTTTGTTCCCGGAGAGAGAAATATCTGCTGCTAGTTAGGATCGAACTCACAGCCTCCTGATTGTGAGGCAAAAAATCCACCTCTAAGCCACCGCACGGCTCCTATAACTGGCAGATTAATCAAGGCCAAACCATCTTCATTTGTTTGATTCCACATTAAACGATATGACATATCATTTTATATACATTCAATTCATATATATATATAGCAGAAGCTTCTCATCCCATCCTACTTTTGTCCCTTCTGTCAAAATTAATATATTTTGTGAAATTTTGGGGAAAAGCAAGTCAAATTGTATGAAGTTAAGCAAAACCATTCATGCTCTTGGTTTTTAGTCTTCACTAAACTCTTGTTTTTTATATTTATGCTTTTATTGCATCATAAGCTGTCCAATGGGATAATGAGATGGGCGGCCTATAAATTTAATAAATAAAATAAAACTAGTTAAACCCAGTTACAGCATGTGGGATTTTTATTGTTTTAGTATTTAGCATTCAGCTCAAGAAAAAAAAAAGACTTTTGTTTGTAATATTGAGTAAGAGAGCAAGGATGCAAACCGCCTGGTTAATTTAACTAGATCCACAAACTTTGGTTGATTGAGTAAAGTTTAGTCCTGAGTAAACATGATGCTGAAAAAATTCCTATGACAGCTTTTACTAACAGTTTCCCCAGTTCTGACTGCTCATTAATGCAGAGGCTTGGAGAATAACTCACATAATCATATATATTTTTTTTAAGAATGAGGTCAATTCAGCATTCAGCTCTTAGAGGCTACACCCCACATGCCTCAAGTTAATACTGGAACTAACTCACTCAAAGGTGCTTTGTGCCTTCCCTCCCCCCCACAAGGTGAGAAGAACTTAAATTGGTATGTGTTGGGGGGGGGAACAGAGAGAAAGAGAAAAGAAGCCCAAGAAGAACTGACAAAGTCAATGATGCTTGAAGAAAAATCTGCTTCTGATTATCCTACTTGTCAGGGCTTGCAAAAAAAAAAAAAAAATCAGAACTGCTGGATTTCCAAATATTTAACACCAACTGAACCTCTTCAAATACCCTGAAGCTATAAAACTGAATGCTACTACCGATCCATCTGGAGCCAGGAGAAAATTAAATATAATTAGCATTAAGTATAGGGGAGGGCAAGGTGCTAAAAAGTCAGTCTATAGGAATGGAATTCTAGCAATGCAGATACTAAGTCATTCCCCCCCCCAAGCTTTTTTTTTTTTTTAAGTGTCATGGAAAACTTTTGTCCCCGTTTATGTTTACAATATCTCATAACACACATAATTTTCTATACAAGAACCAGTTTGGTGTAGTGATTAAGGTGTCAGGCTAGAAACTAGGAGACTGTGAGTTCTAGGTCCTTAGACCCCAAGCTAGCTGGGTGACTTTGGGCCTTCTCTCTCAGCCTGAGGATGCAGGCAATGGCGATCCACTTCCGAAATCTTGAAATCAAGAAAACTGTAGGGACTACTGCTATCCAGACAGTTGCCAGGAATTAACACACACATTCACATACACACCCCCCCCCCCCAAAAAAAACCCTTTCCAGGGGTTTGGGGGAAAAAATCGCAGAACATTTTCTCCCCATGTATGTTTATAATATTTCATAATATAGAAATAATTTCTATACGTCTTACACCAATTTATACAATGGCTCAGATAAATTGCCAAGGCCTTTTAAATGCAAACCATACTACTTTACACATGTAACTCATACATGTTCCTGATGGGAAGCTTTTTTAGTATGTGTGAGACAGAAAGGGAGGGAAGGAAAGAAGGAAGGAAGGAAACAGGAAGGTGGTGGGAGGAAATACGGAAGGAAGGAAGGAAGGAAGGAAGGAAACAGCAAGAGAAGAGGAGGGAAGGGGAGGGGAGGAGAAACAGAGGGAGGGAGAAAGGAAACAGGAAGAGGAGAGGAAGGGGAGAGGGGGGAGAGACAGGGAAGGAGAGAGGAAGGAAGGAAAGAAACAGGAAGAGAAGAGGAGGGGAGGAGAGGAGAGAAAATAAGAGATATTCTTCTTCGTGTGCGAAGCCTGTAGGCTTTTGCTTCACTGGATAGAAGAATTAAGGAAAAAATTAACGAAAAGTTAAAGGAAGCCAAAGATCTCCACTCTGTAGCACATCTGATAATGCTTTCGTTGTCCAGCGTCATACTCTTGAAAGGATAACATGTAAACAAAGCAAATCTGATCGTTCCAAAATGTTTACATATCCTAAGCATGGTTTAAAATAATTCCTTTGTTTTTCTTTCCTTCTTTCGCCTTCAGCCACTCTCTCTTACCCACCTTTTCATGGTTTTGATTCTCATCTTTGTAGAATTCAAATACTCGTCCATCTAGACTGTAGGAAACTTTGTAAGACCGAACAAACTCTGATGCTCCTAGACGGCCTGCCCCTTGAGTAACGATCCCAGAGAGGAACATTTTTTTCAACAGATTGATCTGCATGGAATAAAAAAAAGAAGGGGGGGAAGGACTTTAAAAGAGGCATAGTCAATCAAACTGGCTGGAAAAAGCCAAATGAAAACAGCACATGAAAACAGCAAAACCAAGTATTTGATCCTGTGTCAAAAGTTAGACTGTATTGAAGTGACATTATTCTTTGAGTCTGTTCTGCATATGTGCGTTCTGCTTTGTTAATTAGCTCAACATAGTAATTTTCATTAGACAAGGTTAAATTGTAATCTCCCCAGGGGCCTGGATCGGTTTGTTTTTTTTAAAAGAAAGCCAATGCCATCTAGAAATATAAAGGAACATGAACTATCAACAGGAAATGAAAAATTGTGTGAGAATTTCCATGCCAAACTCTATCTAGCCAAAGACCAACTTAAGCTTTTTTGTTGTTATTGTTTTAAAAAATGTAACAGGGTTTTGTTTCCCATCTCACTATGAATAAAATGTAGGATTGTTAAACTGGCATACTTTTTATATTAACATTGTGTATTTTTGTTTTTTGCTTCAGTGTACGTGAAGAGGTTATTTTATTATATATTTGGATCTGTACTGAAGAAAGTGGGAAATCACTCTTGTTGTATTTCTTTTTTTCCATTTTTTTTCTTGCCCTTTCTAACGTCTTATTGTCTTTTGATTCCCTTCCTCTTTTTCCTGTCATTTTGTATTTTATCTCTTCCTGAAACTAATTAAATTGGCTCAAATAAAAAGAGGTAGGATTATAAGAAAGCTTAGCAAGAGAGAAGTTGACCTTTGCTTTCTGAGTTCTAGCACATCACCACCGGCCAATTCTGACACTGTGTTTATGTTTTAAAGAGAGCTTTTGTGATATCAAAGGACGCATAAAAAAGAACTTTAATCTTGGCAGGCATGTTGGCAGATGTTCTTTAACTTCATCGGTCTTAGCAGGCTTGTCCAACTAAAAAGATAAAGGTGCTGCAATCTAACCACACCTAGAGCAGGGATGTCAAATTCGACACGTCAAGTGACATGTCACGACATGGTAGTTTGACACCCCTGATCTAGAGCCCCCAACTACTCTCTGCTAATTGTTACATGTCCTAGAGTGGCTGCAGGTTGGGTGAAGAATCCACTGTGTCATGTCATAATCATCAACAGACACTCAGCTCTGAGGCCAGTTCATACAGACATAACAGCAATAGCATTTAGACTTATATACCGCTTCATACTGCTTTACAGCCCTCTCCAAGCAGTTTACAAAGTCAGCATATTGCCCTCAACAATCTGGGTCCTCATTTTGCCGATTTCGGAAGGCTAGAAGGCCGAGTCAACCTTGAGCCGGTCAGGATCGAACTCCAGACTGTGGGCAGAGTTAGCCTGCAATACTACATTCTAACCATTGTGACACCACTGATAATGTTTCCATTCCCCTTTTTGGCTCTTCGAACGGAGGCTTCTTCTTGCACCAATACCTGAATCCAAGGTTTTTTGTCCTCGGTGCTGGCTCTCCAGGCATTCACAATTCCGCTGTTCTGGAGGCGAGCAAGTTCAGGGGTCCAGCGTTGCATACTCATAAGGCCATGATATATCGATGATGCTGTAAGCTGAGTGTCTGCAATAGCTCTCGTCTGCATGCCCAACTCATCTTTACAGCCTGGATGAATGAATTTTGAAGAGGGAGAAAGAAGAAAACAAGAGCATTGGAAAAAGCTGGAATCAAAGGGTCAAGGAGGAACGTAAGAACCAGAATTTAAAAACAAAACACAACAGCGGAGTCTCCTATAAAATTAGGATCGAATCATCCAATGTACTCTTGGGGGGAACTCAGGCTCCAAACATGGATCTGGCTGTAATGAAAGAAGTACCATTCACACATCAGGCCGTTCAAGAAATGTCTCAAAAGGGAATAAACTTTGGGTGGGAGAAGGTCTCGCCTTTGGTGAGATGGATAGCATACAAGCTAGGGAGGGAGGGAGGAAATTGAAGGGAGAGAGGGAGGGAGGGAGCAAGGAAAGGAGAGAAAGAAAGAAAAAGAGAGAAAGAAAAAGGAAAAAAGATGGAGGGAGGGAGGAAGGTAAAGAAATAAAAAAGGAAGAAAGAAAGAAAGAAAGAAAGAAAGAAAGAAAGGAAGGAAGGAAGGAAGGAAGGAAGGAAGGAAGGAAGGAAGGAAGGAAGGAAGAGAAAGAAAGAAAGAAAGAAAGAAAGAAAGAAAGAAAGAAAGAAAGAAAGAAAGAAAGAAAGAAAGAAAGAAGAGGGAGGGAGGGAGGAAATTGAAGGGAGAGAGAGAGGGAGGGAGGAAGCAAGGAAAAGAGAGAAAGAAAGAAAAAGAGAGAAAGAGAAAGGAAAAAAGATGGAGGGAGGGAGGGGTGGAAAGAAATAAAAAAGGAAGGAAGGAAGGAAGGAAGGAAGGAAGGAAGGAAGGAAGGAAGGAAGGAAGGAAGAAAGAAAGAAAGAAAGAAAGAAAGAAAGAAAGAAAGAAAGAAAGAAAGAAAGAAAGAAAGAAAGAAAGAAAGAAAGAAGAGGGAAGAGGGAAGGAGGGAGGAAATTGAAGGGAGAGAGGGAGGGTGGAAGCGAGGAAAAGAGAGAAAGAAAGAAAAAGAGAGAAAGAGAAAGGAAAAAAAGATGGAGGGAGGGAGGAAGGGAAAGAAGAAAGAAAGAAAGAAAGAAAGAAAGAAAGAAAGAAAGAAAGAAAGAAAGAAAGAAGAGGGAAGGAGGGAGGAAATTGAAGGGAGAGAGGGAGGGAGGGAGGAAGCAAGGAAAAGAGAGAAAGAAAGAAAAAGAGAGAAAGAGAAAGGAAAAAAGATGGAGGGAGGGAGGGAGGGAGGAAGGTAAAGAAAGAAAGAAAGAAAGAAAGAAAGAAAGAAAGAAAGAAAGAAAGAAAGAAAGAAAGAAAGAAAGAAAGAAGAGGGAGGGAGGGGGGGAGGGAGGGAGGAAGATGGCTTTCTACATTTGATATAATTCCATGGTGCCTGCAACGCATCTGATGAACATAGTGCTTTGAAACAGGCCAGGCTTCCTGCCCTTGCAGGAAAGGCATCCCAGGTCCTCACACCTGTCTCCACATCTGTCCCTGGTTTGGGTCTCTCTTACAAGAAGGGTTTCCATTTTTCAACTTCATCCTCAAATTGCTTAAGGGTTTCTTTTAAATTTCTCTTGGGGGCTTTTCTTGATGGCAGCGCTATCTCTCGTCAGGTTTGCTGAAATCTCCCTGCCAGCCCTTATTTCTCACCGGAAAAGACCACCAACGGTTGGAGAGCAACTTCCTCATGGATTTCTTTGGGATTTAATGGAATCAGCAGTTTGTCTTGCCCCAGCTCCTTTCCCCTTGAATATCTCCTGTCCTTTGCCCGTAAATAAATATCCGAATAAACACACCTCCGTCTGTCAGAGCCGAGCTACTAAGACTATCCTTCAGTAATGAGAAACATTACTACTGTCAAGGGTGAACAGGGAATTCCAGTTATCCTCTGAATGAAAAGCAATAATAAATAACCAAAGAATCAAAGTGGTTAGGGGGAAGGAAAAAAAAAAGGTCATTCAACAGTCTAACCCAGATTTCACGCATGTTGGACAGCCTCAAGTAAGCCATTAACTGAGGCAACACAGCCTACCTCACTGGGCGGTTGTGGGATTGAACAAAAGCAAAAAGACAAAAGCTCTTTATATGCTTTTTTTTTTTTTTTAAATACATTTCGGAAAGAAAGAAAAAAAAAGTAAAACACAATGCCCTTTTGTGCAGCTTGTTTTGTTTTGGGCCGCGCTGGATTGCCGACGAAAGCCAGCTTTTGCATTTGTTCAGAAAAGCAGAAAATGTTTATGACTTCTCTTGCCTTGTGACTGAGCCGTAGGTTCAAAGGGGGGGGGGGTTCCAATCACTCTGCTTTTGGATACAAAGGTTCACTAAGAGGAACAGGCAGATCTTAATCAAAGATCTACCTAATCCATTGTTTTTTTAAAAAAAAAATTCATCATGATGATGATGATGATGATGATGATGATGATGATGATGATGATAATAATAATAATATTAATAATAATAATAATAATAATAAAAAAAAAAAAAAGTTGGAAGGGACCTTGAAGGTCATCTAGTCCAGCCCCCTGCTCAGGCAGGAAACCCTATACCATTTCGGACAAATACCTGTCCAGTCTCTTCTTAAAAACTTCCAGTGTTGGAGCATTCACCGCTTCTAGAGGCAGGTTGTTCCACTGGTTAATTGTTCTAACTGCCAGGAAGTTTCTCCTTAGTTCTTGGTTGCTTCTCTCCTTGATTAGTTTCCATCCGTTGCTTCTTGTCCTGCATTCAGGCGCTTTGGAGAATAGCTTGACTCCCTCTTCTTTGGGGCAGCCCCTGAGATATTGGAAGACTGCTATCATGTCCCCCCTCGTCCTTCTCTTCGTTAAACTAGACATACCCAATTCCTGCAGCCTTTCCTTATATGTTTTAGCCTCCAGTCCCCTGATCATCTTTGTTGCTCTTCTCTGCACTCTTTCTAGAGTCTCAGCATCTTTTTTACATCGTGGTGACCAAAACTGGATGCCATATTCCAAGTGTGGCCTTACCAAGGCCTTGTAAAGTAGTATTAATACTTCACATGATCTTGATTCTATCCCTCTGTTTATGCAGCCCAGCACTTGTTGGCCTTTTTGGCAGCTGCAGCACACGGCTGGCTCATATTTAGGTGACTGTCCACTAGGACTCTGAGTGATATCTATGAGGAGCTACCCTGATTGGGAAGAGAATTTTGTGTCCTCAAAATTGCTAGCTAGGGCGTAGCCAGATGCACGTGGAATTACTTTCTTCCTCATACAAATTCTCAAATGATTCCATTTCCTCCGTCCCAGGGGTCCTACAAGATTTCCCCACCACAATTGCTTGCAGACTGTTGATTTTCCAAGGTGAGAAACAAGTGACATTTAGAAAGAGGGGGGCTGGCGAGGGGGGGGGAAAGAGCCAGATTTGTCTCAAGTTCTCTGTTAATGACAGCAGGAAACAAGCAACCTTGAATGGCTGGGGGAGGGAAAGAAGGAAGGAAGGAAGGAAGGAAGGAAGGAAGGAAGGAAGGAAGGAAGGAAGGAAGGAAGGAAGGAAGGAAGGAAGGAAGGAAGGAAGGAAGGAAGGAAGGAAGGAAGGAAGGAAGGAAGGAAGGAAGGAAGGAAAATATCCTTTTCAGTCCCCAACTGTTACATCTGTCCATCTGTAGATTTCCACTGTAATATTTTTGTTCTACTTTCAAGATCTTAAAATGTCCCCAAGCCTGCTGGTATCTCCAGGATGCTTTGAGGTCCATCAGGAGCAAACNACAGAGGTGGGGAAGGCAAAGAGGAGATTGCGAAGGTCTGAAATCAAGCTGGGTCAGACCTGCTTGGTACTTGAGATATGAGAAAGGGCAGTGAGAACTAGCCTGCAAAATCAAAAACCATCCTAGAAGAAGCATCCATTGCAAGCTTGAAAATTGCCCGGACGTTTCCACAAAATCCACCAGGAATTAAGATCCAAGGCAACTTTAACTTATGGGTTTAATGTTTTGTGAACTCAGCATTCCTTGGACGGCAGGAATTGTAGCCCTCGGGCCAATGCAGGTGACCTTTGCCTGAAAAATATCCTGTCTTCCCAGTGCAGACAGACCCAGCAATGGTTGTCTGAGCCTTCTTCATTTCTTAACCCTCTTAACCCTGTCAGGAGGACCAAAGACTTACGTATCTGGCAGGTCTTCCCCACATAGGGCGAGGGGCATTTACAGTCAAAGTTGCCCCTCAGATCCAGGCAGGTCCCCCCGTTCTTGCAGGGCTGGAAAAGGCATTCATTCACATCTATGGCAAAAGGAAAAAAAACAGATGCAGCACCATCACTCCCGGGTTTCAAGAAAGTCAGATCAAGCCCTGCCTAGTAACAGTCAGGACTACAGTCAAATATTTTCCATTATTAAAAAAAAAAAGGTTAACGGTCTGTGGCTCAAAACACAGCACTGGTTCATATTCATTTAGAAGGACGTCATGTCGTGTCTTCATTATTTTCTGGAAAATCCAGAAAATGTTTAGTTTGGATTTGATGTTCATGCTCTTTTTACCAAACTGATGGTTTGGAAAATAACAAGAGGACAACTAAAATTGCATGTTTTATGATTGCCAAAAAAAGGGGGGAGGAGTCTTTCAAGGTCATTCTTTGTTAGCTGTATAACTAGCTATTAAGAAGGCAAGGCACGGCAACAATCTCTCTCTCTCTCTCTCTCTCTCTCTCTCTCTCTCTCTCTCTCTCTCTCTCTCTCTCTCTTTTGAGGGTACAACACACTGCATTGCATTACATTACAACTTTGTTAACCATGTTTCACTGCACATGGTTTCCACCATCATGAATGTTTATCAGGCTGAGGAACACTTCTGTCCCTAAATGAACAGGTGTGGACCTGACCTTGGGAATGGAGAAGGATTAAAGAGACCACGAGGAGGAGGAGGAGATGGCTTTCAGAAAAGATGACTCAGTCCTAAAAAGAAAACATGAGAAAAGCCTAGCACTGATGATGTTACCTAGTTTGGATAAGGAAATGTCTGCAAGAAAAAAACTAAGCTCAAAGAAGACCAAGGATGATGATTCTTCTTCTTCTTCTTCCTCCTCCTCCTCCTCCTCCTCCTCCTCCTCCTCCTCCTCCTCCTCCCCACTGCCTACTAGCACTGACGATGTTTCCTAGTTTGGGTAATGAAATGTCTGCAAGAAAAAAACCAAGCACCAAGGATCCCGCACGAGAACTCAAAAATAACATGGCGTTTATCTTGTTTGGTCGCAGACAGAGAGACAGAGACCTGGACATGCTTTCAAGATTCTACTACAATAAAAGATATTCCTGCAATCCCTGTGGTGCCTGTTTCTTAACTTGGCCTATCTCAAAGGAGGAGCGTCCTATCCCAAAATGCCCTTTCTTTCACTGCAAAAAAAGAAACACAAGGAGATAAGATGAAGGAGGAGGGAATCCGAAATACCGGCTCGTTGTCAGGTTTCGCATATCGCCGATGCCACGAGGACAGAAGAGGCTCTTGGCGAGTCTTGTAGCTGGCAAAAATGGCACACAAATGGTTTGACATTTTCTGGATGGACCTGAGAGGGTTGGGTAGGAATGGCCCTAGTTTTATGAACTTCTCAGAGACTGGTTCAAAGCTAGCACAAGCTGCTCTTGTGTGGCCTGTGTGATCTCTTTCCAGAAGAAAACCATACTCACTGTACTGGCAGTGTTTGCCACTGTACCCAGCATGACAGATGCACAGGTATTCGCTGAAGGCATCACCCCGATTGGGAAGCAACCTGCATTCCCCCTTATTCTTGCACGGATTGGGATCGCAGGGACCTAAAAGCAAGAGATGCAGAAGGAGGAATATACGATAAAGAACATTGTACATTTAACGTTGCATGTAATAACGGCAGCAAGAATTGTGTTTGCTCAGCACTGGAAAAATGAAAAAAACACCCTCTAAAGAAGAGATCATCGAGAAAACACCGGACTGTGCAAAAACGGATCGCCTTAGGCTGAAGATTAAAGAAAAAGAAAGTACAGAATATTTTCAAATACGGGACGTATTTTATCAATGGCTGGAGAAATGGGGCAGAGATTAGGAATTTACTGTGCATTATTAAGCAAAACAAATGGACCCGGACAACACGCTGTTGACCAAGCACCTATGAATTGTAAATATAGCAAACTAATAAAATATTATTTAAAAAAAGGAGGAAAAGAGGAAAATTGGGAAGAAAAGAAACCCAATCAACCTCTGCAAGATCCGTCTCTCTTAAGTGAGATGTTTGTTAAAAGAATTTTACCCCACAGTACAACCTTTCTTGACACCATTGTTAAGGGAATCACTGCAGTTGTTTAGTTAGCAACATGGCTGTTAAGTGAATTTGACTTCTAACAATAATAATAATAATAATAATAATAATAATAATAATAATAATAATAATAATAATAATAAAGTTGGAAGGGACCTTGGAGGTCATCAAGTCCAACCCCCTGCTCAGGCAGGTAACCCTATACCATTTCGGACATTGACTTTGCCTGTCAGACGGTCACAAAAGGGGATCACGTGACATAGCAACCGTCGTAAATATGAGTCTGAATCTTGATCACGTGACCATGGGAGGGGGGCTGGAAAGGTCGTAACTGTGAAAAACGGCCGTAAGTCCCTTTTTTCAGGGCCGTTGTAACTTTGAACGGTCGCTAAAGGAACTGTTGTAAGTTGAGGACTGCCTGTGATTTAAAAGAACCCCCAGCAGCAACATCGCCCTCTTCTCCTTGCCTGCATCTTAATTCAGAAGACAGAATGAATGGCGGCTGAATCCTAAATTTAAGAGCAACGATGCTTCGCATATTCTAAGGGCCTTTAGCGTGGCTATCATTTCCAGACAAATGACATTGGTAAACCTCCATCAGATCTGATTAGAAAACCAAGACGGATACAGGAATAGACCAAAGTTTGTGGCTTGGCCTATTAGTCGGGGGGGAAAAGGACCCCGGAGAGTGCAGTTTGTATTTAATCCTTAAAGAAACCGTCCTATGAGCTGTTCAGATTTGCTGGGCTGCCCTCTTCTGCCTAGGAAGCGTAGAGGAATTGATCTGCCTTTAATTAAGGCAGCCTTCACAAGAATTCTGGCTTAGGGGGAGATTCAAAAATGGTCTATTCCAGAGATCCCCAACCTTTTGGGCACTGGGGACCGGTGCCATGGAGAAAGGTTTTTCTGCGGACTGGTTTTGAATACTGCCTGCATCCCGAGGATGGAGCTTTGCTTGTTTGTGTGGCCCGCTTGCTGGCATGCTGCGGACCGGTGACGGTCCACGGACCGGAGTTGGGGACCCTTGATCTATTCTATAACACAGGGCAATCTATGGCTCCTGGACCTCTCCATCATAGCCCTAGGAGTCTTCTCTGCTCCAGCCATCAAACTTTAGCAGTACAGTTGCCAAAAAGTGACTAGTCACGCTACACCTGGAACATTTGGGAAAGGGAGAACATCTGGCTAAGAAGATCATACTTACCTTTCTCAGTTTCATTGCAGGTAGGCCCAGTAAAGCCTTCTGCACAGAGGCAGAAGAAAGGAGATTGATCCAGACTCTTCAGACAAGTCCCTCCATTCTGGCACTGATTTACATCACAGAAATCACCTATTAAAAAAATAAAGATACATTTCAGCGCAATGAAGAAGGAAGGGGTTGCTCTCTTCCCAATTGCACTTTTGAGCATTTATCTAACCCTCTATATCTCATTTTCAGTATTGTGCAGATATAGGAGCCGGGCTCTTGCAGATAACAAATGGGGGAAGAGGCTGCAGTTGAGCAAAAAAACACACACTTCCAAACAAGGGCATGAAAAGCCATTTCGGGTCAAGGGTTGCACTAATGTTTTGTGTGACACGTGGGCCAAGGCAAGGCAAGGCCAAGATTGCATGTCAAGGCAATTAAACTTTCAACATCATTACCACTGAGCTAATTATTTATTCGTTCCTTTGTCTGTGGGTCAAAAATTACCATGTGGCTCTGACGTGGGTCACACCCAACTCACCGAAATCTAGAGTCACAAGCGTCAAATAAAAAAAAAAAAGCTACTGGGTCAGATCAAAAGCTGATCTTGTTTGACACTTCTGTTCACCGAGGAAGAAGGAAATGCCTCTGGGAAATTCACAAGCCAATGATCCTTTTTTTTTTAATAGAACCTCTGGATATATAATTTCTCTTTTCAATCGAACCATTGATAAACGTCTGTGGACGTTCTCAGTCGTCTAGGTCACAGTTGTCTCAAAAGGCAACTGGGCTGTTTTTTTCCCTTGAAGAAAACATTTTGCTTCTCATCCAAGAAGCTTCATCAGTTCTGATAATGGGGAGATGGAAGGATAGGCAAGGACAGTTGAGACCACCCTCAGTTCTTTGATGAAGCTTCCTGGATGAGAAAAAACAGTCTGGTCGCCTTTTCAAAAAAGCACCTTTGAGACTAATCATCGGTAAGTCAAATCAATGTTTATTACAAAGACAGAGAGACCTGAGCAAGTTCAACTCAATTTATTATTATTACAGCCAAAGGCCAACACATAAATTAAACATTCAAAACTAAACAGAACCAACACAAGGAGACATAGCAATAGATTACAATTAATGACGTAATCAATGGGTGACCAAGGTCTGCATAATTTTACAGACAGTATAACAAAAACTAGCTACCTTCAGAAAAACTGAATCATACTGACCTGACAATAAAAATACATTGAGTATAGTCTAATGTTTAGAAGGCCAGATCCTGAAGTTGAAACTCAACTACTTTGGCCACCTAATGAGAAGGAAGGACTCACTGGAGAAGAGCCTAATGCTGGGAAAGATGGAGGGCAATAGAAGAATGGGACGACAGAGAATGAGGTGGCTGGATGGAGTCACTGAAGCAGGAGGCCTGAGCTTCAATGGACTCCAGAAGATGGGAGAGGACAGGAAGGCCTGGAGGAACGTTGTCCATGGGGTCGCGATGGGTCGGACACGACTTCACAACTAACAACAACAACAACATAGTCTAATATTGGATAAAAACACATAATAAAAAGATCTAAAATATTTATTTATGTTTCTGGTAAATCCCCAGTGCTGCTGCACAGAATCTAACCACCTGCGCCGTGATCACTGCCTGCTCGTCCTTAAGCAGCCACTGGAGATAAATACTTTCCAAATGACCAGGATACCTATCAATTATGGGGATGATATGGTTTTTCCAAATAGCTGTATAGAAGGAACATCGAAGGAGTATGTGTCCAATGGTCTCCACCTCTCCTGAGCTACAGGAGCAGAGTCTTTCAGCCAATGGTGTCTTTTTATACTTGCCGTATACTTGCGGCAGATAGAAACGCATGGCACCGTGCAAGCGAGAATGCTTTCCAGTAGTTTACTGACTCCAACTGACTAAGATACCTGGGCAGGTGTAACCACATATCTAATACCTGAGCAAGTTAAACACCCTTAAGGAATATCCAGTTAAAAATTCTAGAATAACATCATAAATGACAGATAAAACCTATATTAAAATCACAACAGGGCAGGGGGGGTCTTCAAACGTGGCCCTTTTATGACTTGTGGACTTCAGCTCCCAGAATTGATTCTGGGAGTTGAAGTCCACAAGTCATAAAAGGGCCAGGTTTGAAGACCCCCTGCAATAGGGCATCCAATCTGTCAGTTGCACGTGAGCAAAACACAGCATGCCCTAACTACAGTATAATATCAATCCTTCAACTGTGAGGCCCGTAATCATTAAAAACTAAATTACTATTGGTAAAGAGCTACGTTGTCCATATCAAACACTCATGCTTGCTTACTGCAGGGTCCCCAAAAGAGAAAAGAGAAAAGGAGACAGGAACCACCATCCCAAACCCAAACTGTCTGAGAACAGACAGATGGAGCGGCCTCCCACATTGGCTCATAAAATGCAGCTTTCTTTGGCTTAAGCTACTCCCGAGATCTTTTTATAGCACAGGTTCCTTGGGGTTAATCTCCACTTCCTGCCATTCCGCAGACTTTCATGCAGGCTTCGCCAGAAACTTGGCTCCATACAGGGAGTTCAAAGGTGCTGGCCAATCCTGGAAAAAAAAAAAAGCAGCAGCGCTGGGCAGGAGTTCAAGTCCTTGCTTGTACTGGCTGGTTCTGGATGACTTCACCCTCTGTCTACGCATTGCCATGAGACAGAACCGAAGGAGGAGAGCTTGCCACTTGGAAGGAAGCAAAGCTATCCTTCTCCATCCAACTCAGACCATCAAAGGCTGGGAAGAGAAGTCTCACTCTGGAACCTCTTGTCAGCCAAGGATTTCGAAGGTGCCTGCCAAGCTACTGTAAGAAATGCGAGACCTCTTGGGAAGACAGGCCATGTTTGAATAACCGTGTGCCCTTGTTTGTTTGGATTCTTCTCTTCTTATTCCTTCAGGAAGTCATGGTTCATTCACTCGCTCCCAATAAGTGGGAAATCTCATGTGCAATTGTTATTAAAGCTCTTTTTAAAAGAAGATTAAAAACTAAGATGATCCGAGGCCTGGAGACTAAAACATACGAAGAGCGGCTGCGGGACTTGGGTTTGGCTAGTCTAAAGAAAAGAAGGAATAGGGGGAGACATGATAGCAGTGTTTCAGTATCTGAGGGGCTGCCCCAAGGCACAGGGGGTCAGGTTGTTCACCAGAGCACCAGAGGAAAGGACGAGAAACAATGGTTGGAAGCTGACCAAAGAGAGAAGCAACCTGGAATTAAGCAGAAACTTCCTGACAGTGAGGACAATCAACCAGTGGAACAGCCTGCCTCCAGAAATCGTAGGCGCTCCATCACTGGAAATTTTTATGAAAAGACTATAGGTTCTCCTGCTTGAGCAGGAGGCTGGACTAGAAGACCTCCAAGGTCCCTTCCAGCTCTATTCTATTCCATTCTAATACAAACTAATATAAAGCGAGAACACGAAAAGGAGACAAAAGAAATCAAAGAAAAAGGTGAAAGTGCAAGACAGGGCGGAGGTTGAAATAAAGTAGAAAAGAAAGAAAAGAGATACCAAGAAATAGAACATAGAATGATAGATTTGGAAGGGACCTTGGAGGTCTTCTAGTCCAACCCTGCTCAAGCAAGAGACCCTACACCCATTCCAGACAAATGGTTGCCCAGTCTCTGTTTGAAAGCTTCCAGTGATGGAGCACCTACATCTTCTGAAGGCAAGCCATTCCATTGGTTGATTGCTCCCCCTGTTAGGAAATTTCTCCTTAGTTCTAGATTGCTTCTCTCCTTGGTTAGTTTCCATCCATTGTTTCTTGCCTTTTGGTGCTTTGGAAAATAGGTTGACCCCCCCTCTTCTTTGTTGCAACCCCTCAAATATTATTTATCTCAAATATCTCCCCTGGTCCTTCTTTTCATTGGGCCAGACGTACATAATTCCTGTAACTGTTCTTTGTTACGTTCTAGCCACACTATTTGGCTGCTACTGCACACTGTTAGCTACAAAACTTTGGCAGCGATGAGTACAATTATAAATTTGTATCTTATTCTATGGTTACAACTTAACTCACTTCTTTTTATAATCTACTAACTATAAATTTGTATCTTATTCTATGGTTACAACGTAACTCACTTCTTTTTATAATCTACTAACCAGACAATGTTTGGTGGTTCATCCTTTAGTAAGTATTTACTTACCTAAAGAGATAAACAAAATGACCACGGTTGCCCCCCCCCCCCAAAAAGCATTGACTTTGTGGGTAACTAGCAGGGAATGTCCAAAATCCTGATCACGTGACCACAGCTGACCATGGAGACGTTGTAACGGCCACCGGTTTATGAATGCAGCTAGTCTGAAGATCCTTGAAATTCCAACTCCATGGGATTAATGAGTCCTCAATTTTGTGTGCCTTCTTTAAGTTAGCAGATTTGAGGGAGCTTGATTCAAGAAGTGTAACACTAGGATGCCTCATTTGTGCTAACTGAAGCTAACTAAATAGCCAGGATGGTCTTAGACAGTGTATAGATTCTGTCTAAACATCACAACCATAAACCGTAAGTTTATTTCTTTCTGTTTCCTGCAAAAGATTTATAAGGGATCTCCAGTCAGCAATAAATATTGATACTGTCTTTGATCAAAGAAGCCAATTTAGCCTTCTCTGCAACTCCCTTCATCTTCACCAACCATTCCACCGTGGTGAGTAATGTTGAGTCTTTCCACTTTTGTGCGTATAACAATCTCACTGCCATTATTGTATATAAAACTAGAGTCACCTTGAACAGTGAGATATTATCGATCCATCAATCAAAACAAAGCCCTGTGACCTTTTTTCCAGCTTCATGCATCAATTCACCAAAAGAACAAACAGTTGTCCAGCCTCTTCTTAAAAACTTTCCCAGCATCAGGCTCTTCTCCAGTGAGTCCTTCCTTCTCATTAGGTGGCCAAAGTATTTGAGTTTCAACTTCAGGATCTGGCCTTATAAAGAGCAGTCGAGGTTGATCTTCTCTAGGACTGACCGGTTTGATCGCCTTGCAGTCCAGGGGACTCGCAGGAGTCTTCTCCAGCACCAGAGTTCAAAGGCCTCCATTCTTTGGCGCTCAGCCTTTCTTATGGTCCAACTTTCACAGCCATACATTGCAACTGGGAAAAAGTTGAGGAGTATCTGTA